TCATTGCGAATTATTTGTATAATCTCTGTTCCTTTAAAAGAGTTAATACCAAGATAAATACTCGCCTAAAACCATCCAGACACTAAACCGAACATACGTCCAGTGATTCAAGTTCACAATCAACAGTAAATTGACAAACAAAGTCAATATAGGAAGCAGCGGAACAAACGGAACAGTGAATGGAAAGGTAGCTGAGTTCATTGGCTGCTTGAGAAGAAACACCACAGCTCCCACGATAACACCACCACTAGCACAAATCACTAGTACAGCCCAGGCCTTGAGAGAGACGAGTTGACTGTGTGCATTGCTGAGCATCAAACACAGGACCATCAAGCCAATAGTTAGGATAAACGTTGCTACACTTGCGCGAAAACTCGAATTCTCTGTTGGCTCATTGCCAGACTTTTGAGAGACATTGTCGTCTTCGTTTTCAGAGGTCCCCAGTTTGCTATCATCTGCACTGCWTATTTTATCATTTGTGTGTTTTGTCTTGTAACACAGAGACTCTAGCCAGCTTGGGGCAGTTGTAGTAACGTTAGTGTCTTCTTCTTTCGTTGGCTCGASTGAATCATCATAGACGCTCTCTACACCGCACTGATATCGCGTTAGCAACACAGAAACAGCGACTAGAGTATACGCAATCAATGTCCCAATTGAAAGCATCTCGACAAGCTGTTCTAAGTCTAATATAACAGTAAGTATTCCTATGATTGTTGTTGAGCATAACAGAGCCCGAACAGGAACATGGGTTTTACTATTAATCTTGCTTAGCCAGTCGAAAAGTAGTCCATCGGCAGCCATAGCATGGATGATTCTWGGAGCAGCGAATGCAATTGAAAGGAGACACCCAAGAGTAGCAAACACGGCCCCAACCGCGATGATATACTTCGCGGCAGCGAATCCTCTTTGAGCAAATGCTTCAGCAAGCGGAGCAAACCGGTTTAACTGGTTATACGGCTGCATCAAAGTCAACACTGTTGACACCCCAAAATACGATAAAAAACTGACTACAATAGTYGCAATGAAAGCACGTGGGATCGCTTTTTTAGGGTTAAGGGCTTCTTCTCCCGCTGTCCCAACCACATCGAAGCCTACAAATGCGTAAAAACAGCTTCCCGCGGCYGTGATGATACCGCTGAAGCCATACGGCGCGAACTTCTCACTAGTGGACCAGTTACTAGTATCTGCATAGTACGAYCCAACGCAGAATGTGAATAAAATCACGACTACATTTATAAATGTAACTGTCTTGTTGAATATGGAGCTGTGTTTGACTCCAAGTCCAATAACAAAGGCGATAAATAACACAATCAATAGCGCAAGAAAGTCGGGAAACTTCCCAAGAGCAGGGCTGTCCCACCATTCAAATTCCTTCATGAAAAACGYGTAGATGACTCCTCCAGATAACGAGTCCAGGTATTCACTACATGCGCGTCCAAGACTCGAAGCGCCAATGATGTACTCTAGAATCATGTTCCATCCGGTAACGAATGCCCAGACTTCTCCTAGYGCCGTGTAAGTATACACGTACGCTGATCCYGCTTTGGGAATCCGACATCCAAACTCTGCATAACAGAGCCCGGACAGCAGAGCTGATAAGGCTGCAAAAGCGAATGATAGAACAACAGCAGGGCCAGCTATATCACGGGCAAGYTTACCAATAACCACGTATAACCCAGCGCCAATTACTGACGCCACTCCGAGCGAGGAAAGATCTAGTGTAGTTAGACATCGAACGTACTTGGATTGTTCTTTTTCTGTTGGTATTTGTCGACGCTTTCTTGYCAAGTTATTAAACAACTGCTTCATTACGTTGGAAAATCAGGCTAAGAATCTTTTTTTCCTCGTTTTGGTTTTTAAAACAGCCGCATTAGTTCAGAGACTGAGAAAAACAGATAAAAGCTTTACAACCTTATATATGARAAAACATTTTAGCAGGTCCTCGTAACGCTTGACAATTTCATCACAATAATAAAACCTGTACCACCTGAAATATCAGGGTTTGTGTGTGTGGTTCACTGTTTCCAAATTTTATTAAGTTAARTATTCTCATTTCAAAGCTTTCCCGGAACTGAGTATTTATGTAAATCTACCTTCGTTCATGTAATTACTACAAAATTTGTTTTGGTTAAAAGAGATGGTCGTTTTTTTCACTGAAGTCGAACGGAGTAAGGAATTCGCTTTCACATGGTTAGCGGTATAACAAGCCTAGGGATTAAAACGAAAGTTCTAACCACCATTTCCACCATTTAGTTTACACATAGTTATCTTTAAACGTAATTGTAAGCAAATTTGATAAGCTAATTTGATAAAGTGATCTTTAAGCCCTTAAATCCGTCATGGACTTTACCCATTCATGCTTATTAAGAGAGAATTCTTTTCGT